ACAACAACACAGAACATCACTGGGGGATGTAACAACAGCTGATGCCCTAAACTCAAGAGACCATCAGCATGCAAGCTATCACGTGTGTTTAACATCCTAAAGCTATCAGCAACACTATGTGTGCCAGTGGAAACAGGAAGAGACAAGAAGGCTCTGAAGCAGCACATCCTGGCTTTATGTCACAGTTGCAGTAGATGTACCCAATATAAAAATGACATCCTGGAGACATATTAAATGCCTCTTAAAAGAGAGAAAAATAAGTAATGCTCTATATATGGTCCTCTTTCATAACATCCCTCTAATACTGAACCAAATGATTATTATTTTTGCTGTGATTTAGACACTGACCTCTTATAGAAGTAGCCCAATGTGATTCCCACTCCAAGAATGATTATAATTGCCATCATGAGGATGCCGAAGACGTAGCCTGAAAAACAAAAGGAGAACCTAAAAGATTAAAAACTAAACATATTGGGATATTCAGTTCAAGTAGCAATGCATAACTTAGAATTAGGATTTATTTAAACTGCAGGTTAGTGCATACAGCCAATCATTCATGTTTTCAGAGTAATAACAACTACAGCATACCAAGAGTGCCAAGGTCCTTTTTCTTTTTGGGTCCTGTGCGCACTCGCTGGCTGATTCCCATCACTGGCTGCACGGCCGCAACTTCTCCCTGAGAAGAACCTGACTTGGCTGGCTGAAAGCTCTCTGCGGAGGGAGTAGTTCCTGATGGGTTGAGGGATTCGGCCTCTGCTGGCACAGTAGCTTGCTCTAAAGACACAATTAAACAATGGTAGTGTTAAACAACTGTGTTAAATGAGCTGCCAGTGCAAACCACATTGAAGTAAAATCTGTACGTGAGATCACACAGAGTTGGGCAAAATGAAAGTTTAGGTCATTATGAATTTGTACATTGTAAAAGATGTTGCGATATCTTTTATGCTGTTGTCCTTTAATATCTAAAGTGTGTATGAGACCATTGTGGGTTATGTTGCAAATCACTGAGCAGGAATTTAATTTGCTGAATAAGCCACATAGGTTGTGTTTGCCAGGTTATTTTGTCCATAAACAGTTTATCAATTGATTTTCCACAAATATTGATACCACAATATAAAACAGCATATGCCACAATGGAAGATTTCATCCATCTCTTTAAATGACATTATTTTTTCCTTCCATGCCCGTTTAAGCACACTGAACAGTTTAGCCCACAGAGGTAATTACACTACAGGCATTCACTCTATATTTATGTGCACAGTAGCTTATCTGACTTATCTTTATCTGTATAGTGTGTGGTGACACTTGTTGTCATAATGCACATAAAATACACTCAAACTTTACTTGACTTGACTAGAAGTGCACATCTGGGCCGCAGGGTTTCCAATTACTGCTGGTCCAATAATATTACCACTGACGCAACTAGCTCCTCTACAGCGGGGAAAAAGCCCTGACACTGCTTTTATGAAGTTGCTGGAACGTAAATCAGTTAGAGGATTGGCCAGCACGTGTTTTTTTTCCCCATACGTGTGAGACTTAAACAGGCTCGACTCTATTTCAGGAAACAGTAAGGTTCGGCTGCAGATGTCAACATCTGCTCCTTAACTCTTTTTTTCCATCTCCTCCATACAAGTTGTTGTTTACGAACTGTGCTGGAGTTAAAGGGCATGAAGTCATAAACTGAAGCAGCCAATTAGATGCTGTCTCCAAGGGTAAGACTGTTTCACTCTGCCTATGAGCGCAGGTTGGGGCGTGGTCAACGGCTTCCTTGAAACTGAACTTTGTGACATGTGACTGCAGGGCATTGTTATTGTGTGACTTGGGCTGGCTTTGCAGACAAGAAGGAAACATAGGGCAAAGTAGACGAGACTTCTTAAGGTGATTTAACCCTGAGCAACTGACCTGCTACAGACTTATACTCTTAAATGGGAAAACACATGTAAATGATCAGTAATCCATCTCTGAACAATGACTTATTTGTAGTAAAAATACACCAACAAGAACTTATTAAAAACTTTTTTGGTTGACCCAAAGTTTAAAATTTGGCTGCATCCTCCCTCATCAAGCCTTCCATCTTTTTTTGTTGACTAATTAGAACATTTGCAGAACTACAAACATCTCACCTCATTATTTTCCCCTAGCATAGCCCACTTTTTAAAATAATGAGAGCTTTACAGGGAAGAGAGAGTAATTGCCGGCAGCATCAAGGGAACATAGTCTGGAAAATCTCACAGAGCATTCTGGGAGAAAATCTGCAATTCAGTGTTGTTTTGTCATTAATTTGGAATATGCATATTTATCTTTGCCAGGTTGGACACTTGCAGGTGGGGCTCTGCCTGTTTTTCTACAAATATCCAATTCCTTTGTACAAATTCCAGCTACACAATCCATACAGTGTGTGTACAGTGTGTGTACAGTGTGTGTACAGTGTGTATACAGTGTGTACCTACCTTTGCATGTGTCAATGGCACAGAACTGTCTCTGGACTGTCCCATCTGGGCCAGCAATGTAGCACCAAGGCCTCTCAGAGGAGTCTGGGTTTCGGCAGTAATTGTGATCTCCCACACCTACAGGAGGAACGATAAAAACAGCACACGTCTGTTACTGATGTCTTATGGAAATACAGGCCTGTCTCTGTCTGTCTGTTTGTCCTGCTGTGTGGGTAAACCACTGGATTCATTAATCATTAACACTACTTCATCACACTACAATGAACAGGCCGCCATGAGCACAAAGAAAGGAAACAGCAGCTAGTGTAGAAAAGAAACCCTTTAAGACCACAAATCTGTGGCGCAGTAGCTGAAGTGAGGGCTGTAAATACCATCCCTGTAAGATTACTTGCAATCATGTTGCAAGCCCTATCATTACTCTGTATCAACATCTCAACAATGATGTTAAGAGTTGTTTGTTATCCTGTAAAGGATATCAACATCAGTGGCATTTTCAAACCATCAGCATGACAGAAGAAACACAACTTCATCCTTTATTCAATGGGACACTCGCATCAATGTAAACTGTGTACCTGTGTGTGAATCAGGATGGAGGTTAACATCATAGTCTCTAGTGGTGTTGGTCCAGTTTAGGCAGGTCAGACCTGAGGAGGAGCTCAGTTGTTCCCCTCTGTACTCCACACCAATGGAGCTCATGCAGTCTGAGAATAACAACACAGCATGTGAGCACAACATGGAAGTCATTGTGCAATCAAGAAGAAGGGATAAAATGATAATGCAATGTAATTATAATAAACTGTATGCAGTTTTTATTTTTTATTTATTTTTTTTATTTTTATTTTTTACAACAAATGATTAAATAAATACAAAAAAGTAGTCCATAATGGGGTCATGTTACCTTTTTGATTGCCATTTGATGCACTGCTCTCCACAATAGCCACGCTCAGGAAAACAACGTGCAAAGAGAAAAACATTTTGCAAAGCTGCCGGGCTGAATTCACCGACAGCATGGTGCGCTACTGTGCCTTTTTCTCAAAATCAAAACCGAGAAAAACAAAAAAACAGGTACAAAATGGACGAAGAGCCTGTGGCTGAATGTGCTTCAGACACACTGCTCCTATCGCTGGAGTCCCAGCCCTTGTTTTTGTCAGAGGAGCTCAGCTTTCTTCATAAACAGCCTTCAGTGGGAGGAGGAGGAGGAGGTGCTGCCCTTTGCAGTACAAACCTCAAGGTCCTAACGCCTCACCAAGTTCTCTCTCTCTCTCTCTATCTCACACACAAAAACACACAGAGGAAAGCTGAAAACCTTAAAACAGTCTGGCATTTTATCATGGCATGCAGCCTTGTGAGAATAAACACATCGTCAAAACAAGTCGGCGTGGAAAGTCAAAAAGTTCATTCACATTTTTATTCAAGCTGCAAATGGTTACTTCTATCACCCGTCCTCACAACTTTTTTTTCCTTTTCCCTATCCAACAATAATTTCCATGCTTATTACATTTTCTGTGGTTGCCTATGAATAGCTGCTCTGCTTTCCATTTTCATTTTAAAAATACACTGAGTCTCTACTTTCCATTTATAGGCTAATCCCCATCCATCTGCAGAGTCTTATCTGGCTCTCGGTGCTTGGTCCATCAGTACAAACACAAGTCTTCCTACTTCCCAGGCTTCCTCTACACCCCATGAGGCCTGTTTTTCCTCTGGCCTTGGTCAGAATAGGACTCCACAGAGGCTGATAAAGGACAGCTGCCAATAGTATTTTCCTCTATCTGCCTGTGCACAGGGAGCTGTATACTCGAAGCATAGAGGCCCTGTGTCATTGTTGGCTGACCAGTAAAGAGGGCAGCCAGCGCCTGAGTCAGTCAATGCTCACTAAGCCACTTTTCAAATAGATGCTCACCCAGTTTTCAGGCAATTACTAGAGCAAACATGCAGCATCTGTCCGGCACTCTTCATCACACTCTGCCTATTCAGGGTTACAGGGGGCAGGAGCCTCTCCCAGCATGCACTGGGTCAAACCGTATGTCAGTAGAGCATTGCATGGTAAACACATTTAGGACTGCACCAACTAATTTTAAATGGAGGCTCATTTCCAGCAAAAAAACTTTTATGGGTCTTTTTTTTCTTTTCTTAGCAGAAATTGGCCTCCATAACTTCCTAATTGAGCTGATATTGAGGGATTTGGTGAAGTTGCTGAAGATAATTGATTTAATTATCTATAATCATAATTTTGATTTTCCATAATGGACTTACTGTCTCATAAATCTGATTCTGTGTGTCATGAGAAATGGGCTTCAACAACCACTTAAACCGAGCTGAAGTTGATTGATTCAGTGAATACCAGAGTTAGGCAACATTTCACCAATTGGATTTGAGACTTTTTGTCAGGAGTGGAAACTTAAATCTGTGACACAGATGAGGATTATTTTCATATTCAGAATAGTGAAATTCTTTTTTGCACACCAAAATATGCCATGACAGAGAAAAAGACAAAAATCTACATTGTGTTATGTCATTTCAGACTTCACAATGTATAGGGCTGATTATTTACACTGTCCACTACTTCAGCTGAGCAATGCTGGTAGGGAGAATGGTACCGCTGCTTTGTTGACAATATGCTTTAGTGGGGATTTCAAGCTTTGCAAAAGCTTTGGAAAATAAAACTAAGTTGCACTGATGATATGAAAGACAAACACTTTAACAGAATAACAACCTCAATAGTTCACTTTATTATATTCAGCATAAATGCACATTTTAAATTTACAAAAGCCTTCTTTAAGGATTTCATTTATTAAAATGATTTATTATTTCTGTTTATTTAATAAAAGACATTTGCCTATTTTTGAACCTTGAAAATCTTCTGAATACTTTAGTGGAAAAACACTCTTTCATGCTCCAAATGGTGCACACATGTTGGTATGCATGTACACACATACACACACCCAATAAAAGTGGTTTTACCTACTTGGCCTTGTTCCCTGTTGCCATAGTTAATCATTTAATTAGCAGGACACAGGCTTACTGAGAGACTCTCAGTAAGAATAGCAAAGGCTTTTATTAAGCCAGATGGTTATTTCTCAGTTTTATACACACTCTGCTTTCAGGAAACTGCAGAAACTTGCTTTTTGAAATTTCCCCTCTGTGGGACTAATAAAGGCATATCTTTATATAAGCATAAGTTCACTTCTCAGTCTTTGTTTTCAATGTTGATGCAGGAGGCAGAAGACACAACATTGCACACATTGTTCAAGCAGAGGTCTATAAATGAATAAAAAGTTAAATTACTATATATTTTTATTTAAAACTAAGCCTTTGTTTTCAGGCATATTGACAAGCTGTCAAAATCCTGCCAAGTCTTTCTTGCCTTTGTCGTGAAGCAGAGTAAAGTTAGAGCCCCCATTTGTATTCTAAAGGTGCTGTGAAGGTTTGTCCTAAATTACTTGTGACTCTATGAAACTTTGTTTTTGTCTGGCAACATCCGTACAGTCAGCAGCAGAAATGTTTCATCAATAAATGCATACTGTGGGGGTGGCATATCAAACTTTGCAAGAATTCTTGATAAGATGATTCAAGGTTTTCCAAAAATGTTGATATCAGTTTTGCCCTATAACTTTCATTATCTAGTGTTACCTTGTTTTGTGTGTCATGTTCTGACACAGAATGTGTCAAGAGCATGACAAGAACCGCCTTTAGTTTCCTTTCCGGCACACGTTAATCTCATAGAGCTCTGCACACCAGGTGTTAATTATGACGTGGGTCGTAGGGAAATACATTGCATTAGCATTATGTATGAATCATTCATACAAGCTTGATGTCACAACTGTTGCATAATCTAGATGCTCACAAGCACAATGCTTCATGCATACACAATGGAAACCTAACCTGAAATAGATGTACCTGATATACATACAGATCTGTGTAAACAGTAAAAAGTAAAAAACTGTGACTCTGCTGGTTTACTGTCAGATGTTGATAAATTGATTATTTAGATCCTGAGAATTTAATCACCTCCGACAATACCACATATATAAGAAATTATAGTAGAATATAGAAAACTTCAGTGTACGTTTAATCAATAGCCTAGCATAGCCAACCACAGCATGTACAAACTGTTTCATGTCGATGTTTGTCTAATACTGAACACCGCCCATCTCAAACAAAAGCAGTGGGCTATCTGATGATGTAAGACTGCTCTAGTGTGTGGTCCGTTGCGGAGCAACTGATGGCTCTTTGTCAGATCCAGTCAATCATCTTCAGCCCTCATGTGGCTGGAAAATGGATACTTATCCAGGCAGAAGGCCTCTAATGGAGCATTAAACCGTACACTATATTCCCCCATTGGGCACCAAGCAGATCATTTCTCCTGATGCTGTTGCATTACATCACTACACCAGTCTGCGGCCTGCTACTGTTACTGCTGAGTAATGGCAAACAAACTTACAGGACAGAGGACAAGGAGCATGGCTCTGGGAATAAGAATGAGCATATTGTTGTGGTGCAGGAGATCATGAAGACAGACCTGGAGCTCTACGGGTGGTTGTGTCTCTGCATAAAAAAAAAGCTATTTTTCAAAAAGGAATAGAGCCTCAGAAAATTTAATATTATAAAGTCTTATTTAAGTCTTATTTAAAAGCATTGCATCAAAAATAGGCCTCCAGAGGTTGTAAGGAACAACTGTTGTACAAATTGCACTTAATGTCCATTGGGTCTCTTCTCTGTACTGGTAATATGATGATGGACACAGCTGACTGAAGCCACTGACCGCTTACATAACTGTGTCAGCCTGCCAAGTGCTGGTGTACTGCAGCATCAGCAGTTTGAACAACTCATTCAAGACCAATACTGCACATTCAGATGATGCATGAGGATTCCTGGAATATCTACAGGTAATTTCATCCTGGGCCTCATCGGCCAAAAGGCTTTGCTCGATGAGTGTACAGGATAAGCTCCTCCGTTCCGTCATAGCGGCAGCTCTCCAACCACAGCAGCTGTTAAAGCGGAGGGAAAGTTTACACCGTTCTGACTTAGAAGACTACAAACGTCCTGTAAACTCGTGTGCAGGGACGAAGGATTGCAAAGGTGTTGTACATCATCGGATGTTTTCACAAGCCGGAGAAGAAAGGCAGCCCTGGTGACCAGACCACAAAGGGTGCTGTGGAGACGGGGGTCCATAAGGAGAGCCAACCAGGCAGGGGTTAATGTCTCAGCTAGAGAAAGAATAAATAATCGCATTTTAACACAGACAATTTAGACATCACATATGAAATTATCAAACACACTCTTATATTCAGACTGACACGCTAATGTGGTACCTGGCTGGAGCTCTTTGCAGACTGCAAGGCTGTCTAGCACCTGGGCAGCACTCTCCCCTGCCCATGCACTCAGGCTCTGTGCCAAAGCAGAGGATTCAGAGGATTTTTCAGCAATCTGCAGCAGGTAAGGCAGCACATGTGCAGACATCACAGAGGGCTCTGCAAACACATTGGCCTCATCCTGCTCATACAGACTAGAACACCTGAAAAAGAGAGCAATAAAAACAGTTAAGTAACACTTAATCATGGTTGCTGTTGTTTGTACAAGTCTATTGATTCAGTAAGGGAACATACACCGTCTCTGAGGCGTCTCTCAGCACAGATCTGAGGTCAGATGGAGGCAGGTTGCACAGTAGCACCTCCAGTGTGCCAGGAGTATCCCAGCATTCCTCCAGCAACAGGTGTAATAGGAGCGGCAGAGCCTGGTTGACCTGCATAAGGTAGACACTCCCCTGGCTTTCTCCTCCTCTCACATGGTGCAGCCTGGAGGTAAAACAGGCTGCTTTCATCCTCACAGGCTGGCTTTGGTCCTGCAGCAAGTACAGGCCTGTGTTGATCAACCTAAACCAGAAAGATTCAACATTTTTATTTTAGTTTCTGTTCATGTTTGTGTTTCATTTTGATTAACGATAAATTACGCTCCTCATACCTGCTCATGATGCCAGGCAGAGTGCTGTGTTCCCTCAGGCTCATTAGTGGAACTCCAGCCACACACAGAGCTTCGGCACACGCCATCCTGAGCACTTCAGGGGCGTCTGGGGACCGATGGCACTCCAAGACACTACACAAGCGCTGGTACGTGGATATCTTCAGACTGATTCGCAAAAGATGAGAAAAAAGTCAGAGCTGCAAGTGTAAGTTTTTTAGTATGTGATTCTGTACAGAAGTGAAAAAAAGACAATAAAACATGTCAAACCTGGAGTCTGACCACTGGGAAAGCAGCAGACTAGCAGCATACAGAGCCTGGGATAGAAACTCTGGCCCTCCTCGCTGTTCTTCCAAGTCCACAAGCAACAAATCCAAACACTCAGGCAGAACTGGCTCCTCCAGTGGGGCCAACGGAGGAAGATTTTGGGGTAAAGTTGAATTACCTCCGGTCATCACTGCTACCAGAGCTATGAGGTAGGTCCTGCGGTACTCCACACTTTGGCTCAACAACGCCTCCTTCAGGTTTGCCTGGAAAAAGAGAGCATTTGTGCAGGCTATTAATCTTCATGTGTTAAATGATTAATGAGCTTTTAAATGCCAACCTGGTATTTATGGTATGTATAATTAGAAATCAACATCACTTAACATCACAAAACTGAATAAAAATATGACAAATAAAGGGATTTATGATTCAAGATTCTTTTGGTTTGATTATCAAACACTAATATCAAGATGTTTTTAGCAAATATAAACAACAACACTACAACAACAACAGGACTATTTCAGTGGTTTCCATTAGTTCAGTTGACATAATCCAAACACCTTGTTTAAAAAGTATGTTCAGACAGATTCTGTTTCCCTAGTTTAAATGATTAATTAGCCCTATAACCTGTTTCTCTTATTATTCATTACTTACAACTTAAAGTGCACAGTGCCAGTGTATTATTACCTCAACAACTTTACATTTACCATTATTATAGTAGAACTACATCAGATACATGAAAACAGGGTGCTCTAGTCCAACTAAATGACATAATAAATGCAAACAAGGGGCCTCTAGTCACTATCTTTACCTACTGTCTGTAGATATGTAGTATCACATCTTATCAAGCTTATTTTAAAGACAGTCAATAAAACCTTAAACAGGATGTATATAGGAAGGAAACTGGGGGGTCTAGACAATGCTACATGGTGGAGAGTTTATCTAAATGACCTACATGAACAGCCAATAATAAAAGGCCAGACATCCTCAGCTTGACTGTACTTAAGTCTCCTTGATTACAGAATATAATAGCTTATAGCCACACCCTTTCTTATGTCAGAGGGAAAATAAGATTTCAGCCTCAGATGGCATTATATTTAAGCCTATCTCTTCTTCCCCAATTTCCTCTCATTGTGCTATAAGTGGGTCATTATACTAAAAGCTGTTCGACCGGTATTTGGAACGGTTCTTTTCTTCACGCTGAAGTATGGGGAACATATCATGTCTCACCTGCAACACCCTCTGGATCAACTCTTTCAAGCTGCTCTGCTGAGAACCCCGCCCGTCCACCACCCAAGACACCAACGAGAGCTTTAGATCAGGGCTCACTGCAGAGAAGTTATTCCAGATTGGACACGCCCACTTTAGATCTGCACATAGGAAGTGGATGGCTTGTTGGTGGAAGGATGACAACCCAACCTGTGGAGATGACATTGATATAGCATTATTTTTTGTATGCATTATTTTTTGCTAAAGCTAGAACAGTTTTGTACAGATTTTTTGTACACAGTGAATTTTACTACTACTTTTGCATTACTTTTCTACCAAGTCACTCTTTCAGTGTTTAATATTCAATGTTCTAGACTAGAGAAATCCATCAATGCAACATCCGCAGTTTATTTCCAGGCCAGGGACCTTTGCTGAATATAAACTCTCTCCCCATGTTTCTTGTCTATCTATGTACACTTATGCCATCAATAAAAGGCTAGAATGGCCCCAAGTGTCCATTATTTTATGTGTCTGCATTTGTGTCGCGCACCTGAAGCTCCTGTTGAGGTGTTTGGAGGCCATGCATGAGTATGTCACTGAGCTTCGACAGGTAGGTCTCACAGCAGAACCTTCTCAGCGAGTCTGCCACTCCAAGGTAGGCCCCTCTCACTAGTGGGCAGCGCTGAGCTTCAGTCACCAGCCACAGTGAGGCATCCATCCTGCTCAGCACCTCACACAGGTCAGCTGCAGGGGCACTGGGAACAGAAACACGGCGGGATTTCAAAGCCTGATAGTGTCAGATGAATGAATAAACAGCTCTTCTAAGTCTCACCTGACTATGCAGAGAGCTCTCTCTAGAATAGCTTTGATCTGCAGCAGCTGTCCGTGGAGCCGGTTGTGACAGCAGCGCTCCTGTGGACTGGGCAGCTGATCTGCCAGTTTAATGAGGATGTTCATGTACTCTGAGGGGGGAGTCATGGCAACCAAAGCCTTCGAGGCCATCACTCTCACACTGTAAATAGGACTGGCAGACAGTTGGAGTAAAGGAGGCAGGAAGTCTGACAAAGTTCTGGCAGAGGGAAACCAGAGAAAGACATTCTCTTAGTCAAATACAGTAATGTTCAGTATGGAGATTTATAAATGTACAAAATGTAGACTTTCCCAACTGCTTTGTATAAATACAGTATAAAATGTTAAGCTATTGGATTAAAAACCTACATAGTGTATCAAGACCACTGCTACAAATAATTACAATAGTTAACTTGACCAAACTGTGTAAGGATAAGTAACAGTATTCACTCTGTTGAGTCTTGGACACCAGGCTGGAGTTGGGCTAACAGAGTGAGGACAGGGTAGAGCGAGGGTTGGAGGTGTAGCCTGGCCTCATTAGGTGGACCCTGGAGGTCTTGTGCTGCCCCTCTCAGCTCACCCAGCAGGAAGGGCTGGAGCGCAGGGTAGTGGAAGAAGAAGGCATGGGGGGACATGCCATGCTGGGTAGGGCCACCATCGTCACTGCTGGGCCGCTGGCCGAGCATTCGTGAGCACAGAGAACCTGGAAGCAGGTTTTAATTACTGTAGTATCAGGGGTATTAATATGAGCTAAATCAACTAGTCAAAAGACACAAAATTATTATAATAATATAATGATATTATTATAATTATATTATCGACTAATAATTTCAATCTTTGTCTTATTTCCAGCACCTACAATGTATTTGAGTATTATGAGTATTCAATTGATGTCTTTGTATTCTCTGACAGTAAATGGATTATCTAAATGACTATTTAGCTGAACTGAAAATTTGGGTTTTGTCAGTTTGAAAAAACATGGAATTTGAAATTATTATTTTATGCCATTTTATAGACTAAACAATTAAACAATTAAATTAACAATTAAATAATGAATTGCAATCCTTCATATTACAAATACAGACTCAAAGTGAAGCTCTAAATGCGCCAGTGTCTTACTGTAAAGTTGCAGAGCAGCGTTCCTCATGCCCCAGCAGGGAGAACTGAGCAGAGTGAGTGACAAGATGGCTACAGCAGGAGCAAACTGAAGAACAGCTACTCCCAGACCTGATCCACGCACCAGGGCTTGCAATGTGTGAACTGCACACACCTGTATGGAAAGAACAGTCACCACATCTGCCTTTGTGGTTACATAGACCAATATCCTCATTCTTGCCGTCTACAAACCTGTGGGAGGTCCAGTGTTTGGTCCCAGTTCTCAGGTAGAGGGGTTTTGGCTGTCTCCAGTAAGGTTTGCATACTATGAGCTAACAGTGGTCTTGCTTTACTGGCCTCCTCTGCAGACACGACACACAGGATGAGCATAGGCAACCCTGCGGCCCGCCGGGTCACAGATGTAGAACGAGGGGACTGCACAACCTGCAATCCCTAGAAAGAGACAGAGGAGGAAATATGTCTTTAAGCCCAGCAGTCCAGCATCTCCATAAATACATACAAGCATGCATCACCACTCACTTGTCTCAGCATTTGGGCCGGGATATCCTTAAGCTCTGCATCACTGCTGCTCAAAAGAGAGGCACAGAACTTGGTGAAGCCTGTACAGCATCCCTCTACTGCCCCCTGGTGGGGAGAAATGTGTTTTTTTCAGAAAAGAACATGAGAGTCGAGGTGATTGCCTTTTAAATGTATTTATAAAACTTACCCAGTGACGGCATTTGAGAAGAATATTCTTGAATATATTTGATGCTCTCATTAGATCGCCTTTTGTTAGAGGGCACTTGCTGGATTTGGATTCGGTGAGAATTTTCTCCACCAGAGAACCTAAAAGGATTCCTATTTCCTGATGAGAAAACATGAAAGCAAATGATACTGAGAAGAAATACACACACAGCAAATATGCTGAGATAAAATGCCAGGTTTTTGCCATCTTCCAGTTATGTTAGTGCATCTGGCTCTGTTTTACCTTGAGGGAGACCCAGCAGCAGGTGAGAACGAGGCTGTGCTCCTCAGATAACAGGACACACTCCTCTCCCTCCCCTTGGACTCCTCCAGACGCTTGGGCTATTAGAGAGCTGATGGCGTTTCCCATATCACAAAAAGAAGGGGGGGCATCTACGACAGAAGAGAGCTATTAACTGTGTGGTGTCATAAATAAATCTGAAATACCCCCAAATCAGTATTGTTTCTGCAGATTGCTCCATTACCCTTTTCACAGGCATCCTGGTCTCCATACAAAACACCCAGCAGCAGTAAAGACATATTGTCTAGCAGGCTCAGCACCTCAGTGGTCAGACTGTGATCCAGTGCGTCATAAACACTGCTGGGTGCCTCAAGCAAACACCTCTGAAGGGCACTTAGAACACCTGGAACATAATTAAGAACACCATTTAAAGAACTTTTTTTTTTTTTAGGGCTAAACATCTTCTGTGGTAGATGTGGGAGATGTAGATCTTAGGTCTTACCATGTATAGGCTTGGTTCTGGCAGCAAGCATCATGTCCGCCTTGGCTGTCAGATAGTGTTCCTCCAGCTCCTTCACCAGGAATCTGATCATGCAGGAGGCCCTGGGGTTACTTCCACTGCTGACTGTAATGTTACTGTTCAGCCTGCAGTCCTCAGGCTGGTCTTGTGATCTGCAGGTAGAACAACAACTGATAACTGCTTATCCTTCGCATCTAAAGCAGGCAGAGTGTGTCGGAGGCAAGGCTTACTTCTGAAGCAGGACCTTGATCATCAGTGCTCCCATCTGAGCCTCCTGCACCCGAGGGCTGCACAGAAGCTGTTTGGTCCGTGTGAGCAACACTGCAGCGATATCTTCTGGAAAACTGGGTGGGAAAAATCTCAACAATAACCCCGCTGAGAGCTCCCGAATCTGTAGATGAAAAAAAAACATTAACTATTTCCTAAAATATTCAAATCAACCTCAATCTTCTATTTGAACTGCATGAAAGACATATGAGGCAGAGGAAGGCAGCTCTACCTCATTTGTAGAATCTTCTAAACAGCTGATAAGGACCAGCTGTTTTGTCCTGCAGACAAAATCCCACTGTCCTCTCTGTCTGGCAAAGGTAATAAGAGACCCCATATTCGCTGCAAAAATGATTTAATGAAGCGTATTACCAAGCCAAAACAATACAAAACAAGATTGGTAAAAAATTACACAAATTACACAAATAAGCAAATACTAGCACTATACATTAGTATGTAGAATACCGGTTTTCTAACTGACCTGGAGGTTGTCCCTTCTTTTTGTCTGGGCTCCATGTGTCTGTGCAGGTCTCCAGCACTGCAGACAGCAACAGAAGCACAGTCTTCTTCCTCTGGTAACTGTGTCCTGGTGCCAGATAGCTGTATGGAAGTTGACCCAACCATTCCACAAACCCTACATGATATACAAAAGGGTTTTGATGAACAGAAAAAAGACAAAAGAACAGAAAGATGTACTGAAAAAAGACAGAACTTTAAATTACAAACAATGCAACAAAGGCAGATAATAACAAGCTGTGCAATTTCAATTTGGGTAGAGGTGATTGATCTTCCTTGGAGATCCGTTTGTTGTTTAATTTTGATACTCAAATATATGAGTGTTGATTGCAGGACTCAATCTTTTAGTAGTATGTAATTATGTCTTTTTCTTCAAAATTAAACAGCAGCTGTCAGTTATCTCACCTATTCCCTGCTCCAGTATATCCTGTGCCCTCTCTGAGTCTCCTTTCTTTTTGCCCTTCTGTCCTCTGACAAGCGCCAAGCAGCCGTCTCTGATGCGAACCAGAAACTTCTTCACTCCGGCTTGAAGATGCTGACGAAAAGGCGAGGACTCACAGTTTAGGTTCTGAGGAATAAACATCCTCATTATTGTCATCTCCTCTGTGGTTGGAGTGTCTTTGGTCTTTGGGCTGCAGCAGAGGAGGTTGAGAGCAGCAAGACGGACTTTGTCATCCGCAGATCCTAGAGCCAGCTTAAGGGTTTCAAGGGTTGAGCTCCCCTTCAGAGCCCAGGGAGAGCCTCCAGTAATGGCTCGATAGGAGCTCATGATGCAGGCCCAGGCGAGGAGATGGCCAGGGGTGGATGGGTCCAGAGAGGCCAGCATATGATCCACAGCAGAGGGGAAGACTTGAAAGGTGCAGGGTAATAAGTGTGTTGAGCAGTGATTCTGTAGAAGAGTCACATCAGACGTCAGCGCGTCGTGAAGGACGGCCCGCCAACGCCTCGCCCACTGGTTGGCCAGATCCTGCTCAGTGTGTGAAGCAGACGACTTTTGTGAGCCCTCGCACAGCTCTCGCCTCTGCTGTTGGATCAGACACTTGTAAAGCTCAGATCCACATGGTGACAGGTGATTGGTGGACAAGCACTTCAGGAGATGATTGGGTATTTCAGCATATTGATCCAGCACCTGATTGATTAAAGAAAAATGCACCAAAGTCATCAGTCCCTGAGTCTTTGGCAAGATGAGAGGAGGTGAACTCAGACTCTGTGTTTACATTGATGATGGATGGGAATTGTTCCTCAAATACTGAACTCTATGTGAAGATGTAACCCTTTTATCATCAATAGCTTGTTGCTGCTATTCCCCTAGACACACATTTTAAAATGCATATAGATAAATAACTGTATATATTGTTTTATGTTATGTTAAGTTCTATGTTGTACATAGAAGGGCTACACACTTCATTTACAAACCTTGTTCTGTATATAGATGAATAAATTACCATGATCCTTAATTAGAACATTATTAACACTGTATTAACCCTTAATCCTCACCATGTCAGTACCCAGGTATGGCAGTAGGGCACAAAGGCGGTAATATTTGGCTTTGGCTTCCCAAGGTAGTTTGATTAATCGTTCAAGTAGAGTAAAATAAAGAGTCTTCTTGGTGTCACAAAACTGCTCACAGTCCATCTCATAGATGTCCAGCAGCAGAGAAAAGGCACTGCGCACAAAGTCAGACACACCTTCCACCTGCCAAAGCACAGGAAGACATATTAAACAACCCTGGCAGTAAAATGTCTTTAAATCATTTGAAATGCCAACATGAGGTCCATTTTGTTCCTGAATACTTAAATGAGCCACCTGTTAGTGGGGGGTGGTAATGAATATACTTCTTAATGATGCCCTTTTATTTAAGTGTTCATGTTTTTGAATTGCAATGATACAATGATGTTGATTTGACTCACTGGGCTTTCTGCATTGGTCCAGATAACGTGAATGAGCTCTTGCTGCAGGCGACTGTTGTCAGGCAGAAGGCGGACGCCTGTCATCTTCCAGATATCAGTCAGACATTCTTTAACTTTCTTCAGCCACAGTGTTAATACTGCAACAACATGTTATATTTAAACAGGTGATATTGCTATTTAAGCATGTGAAAAAAACAACCCTCAGATTACTTACCTTCAAAGGCAAAGTAGTGACAATCCATCTTCTCTTCACACAAAGCATAGACCAGAGGAAACAAACCTTTCAGCAGTAAGCACATCTGACAAGAAGGAAACGATGGATTGGGGCATGACAGGTAGTACAACTGGGGTATAAATGTGTTTTTAATATGAGATTTAATTGGATTTACTTCTGTGGCATCCATGTGTGAACTGAGCAAGATGTGAGGTCGACAGCAGGTCAGGAGGCCCCTGCTCACAGCCAGCCTGTCCACTCCGTCCTTCCCTGTAGGGTTGCACTGTACCTGGAGAGCACCAACAGTCAGCAGCCAGGGCTCTGAGAAATAAAAAGAAATAGTGGCTACTCTGTTAGGAATCTCTACGCATCCACACTCAGTTGCAGAATTTGTAGTATACATAGCATTTTTTGTTTTTGGATAGAACAGAGAAAAACTAAATCTATTTATTTACCCACATGGCCACATACCTGGGTCAAATTCCAAAATCTGATTTGCTCGTGCTTTTTGCCCAGCAGTGTTGGTGGTTACCTACCTAAGTGAGAGACCTGTAGCAGACTCCAGGCAGCAGCTTCTGCAGCTCTGCTCTCTGGTGCAGTGTTGATCAGCATGGCCACAGCAGTGCCTGCCAAAAGCCGAGTGTCCCTGTTGCAGCACTGGAAGACAGGACACACGGACTGATAAGATGAGACAAAGGCAACTGAACAGATCTCTATCTTATGAATAAGTGACTCTGAACAGAAGAATTAATAAGAAACCTGTCCAAGTATTATGTCCATAAGAGCCTGCAGGATCGTCCGCACTGTTGGGCCCCCGTGGTTCTTGTCCCACACTAGAGGAGCCACTTCACTGGACAACAGCTGAAAGACTTGCAAACACACCTGCAGAGATCACAGTTCTCACGTCCGTCACAAAGAACACACAACAAGTCTGTGATAAATGCAAAGAACTGATTCATGAAGCACGCTGCTCTTCGTGTACCTTGACAGTAATGTAACACAGTGGTCCATCTCTGAGGGATTCTTGTTGCAGTACAACAGGGAATAACTCAGACACTTTATTCAGCAAGGAAGGGAATGACTCCCGCCACACCTCACGACCCACAGCGCTGTCTTCCAGGAACATACAGGCTAAAAAAGGTTAAAAAAACACAACCTAATAAGCTGATAAAAACGCACATTTGAAATTAGTGACATGTTATAATAACACATACTTTTTAACCAGCACTAACCTCTCTGCACATCCTCGAAAGACAATATCTGAAAGGAAGACAAGGTCAAAGTTATCTGCAGTGCCTTTATGCAAATACATGACAAACACAAGTGAAGGGAAAGCTCTGTACCTCTTCAGTATGGACTATGGAGTGCAAGCAGTGATGAGTTTCTCTAAAAACCAATTGGTGGTCCACCTTTGCCAAATGTTGCAACATCTGTCAAGCAGATTCTAAGTTTAAATCTCATTTCCATTTCGTATTAGGGGCTGTACAGTGAGCAGACATGCTACAGGGCTGACCTGGTCCACTTTGCGACAGGCTGTGGAGATGCTGACCATCTGCAGCTGCATGGAGATGAGGAGTCGGACCAGGAGCAGGAGGTGGCTCTCCTCCGTAGCATGAAGCTGTGCCTCCGAAATCTGCCTCAGCAGCTGGAGAGCCTCCTCTAAACGGCGCTCCTTGCATCTTTTCACACTACTCCTGCTCATACAAGCATGCATTATTCAGTCAATATCACACCTAATTAAAATAAAATGTGTCAGACAGTCAGACAGGCATGAGGTTATAGGCACCAACCTGGAGGATTCAGACAGTTTATCAATAAAGAGCCCGAAAGTTTGGCTGACACTTTCAGCTGCCTGGTGCTCGGCGATCACACAGTCTTGCAGACTTGTCATCAGGTCTTCAAAAGACAACATCGTTTCATTAACTCCACTTTACAGACTTTGGATGTTGTCAGACAGGCGGCACGCTGTACGGTGGTCACGTGATACAACTCTATTTCTACTATTTCTCAGAGCTGTAGTCATGGTGATAGTAACAGCGCCATGCTGCCACCTAGAGGCAGGTTTCAGCTTTTGTGTCCTTATTAAAATGTACTTTATTGGCGGGCTATCACACACCCAAACACATGCAGACATCAGAGAAGTACAGTATATTTTAATGAAGCATTTTTGTAGAAATAATAAATGATTTTATCAATCAATCATGTCATTAATACACAGAAACTCACATTCTTAGGGAATACTTGGAATGTCCCCATTGTGGGACTATTAAAGGAATATCTTATCTTATTATATCTATGTTTATCTTACTATATGTGAATGCATTCCATTAGGCTGAAATGGTATAGTGCTCCCCCTTTACCAACTGTGAAGTTGTCTACAAACCTAAAGGAGGTCACAGGTCACAGCCTGTGTCTCCTATTTGTGAATTTGTCCTCCTCTCTGACTGGCAGCTGATAAGGTTGAACAGTGAGCACCCAACATATCGTAGATCTACTTTGTTATGGAAGACCAAGGTTGAGAACAATCTAACAGACAGACTGACTGTCTCCTTTATGTGTTGTGTGTGACTCCAGGTGTTATTCAGCGTGACTTAGGATAGCGTAGGTGTAGGCGGTTTGTTTTGAACCACTATCCAATTGGAGCTTCACATATACTGTATGTAGCAGCGTAAGTTATGACCATATTTAGGACACTAGTAGATCTTGTGGGTCTTGGTTTGTGTTAAATATCCCTTGACAGGAGATAACCTTCAGAATCGGGTTGGCACTGCAGTGTGAGTCACTTGTTTTGTTGATCTTGTTCTCCTTGGATGAGCCTCAGTAAATTCTGCTGTGTCTCCTGAGCTCTTCTTTCAGTATGAGTGGTTCATCTTCTTCAAAGTTTTTCCATCACACTATTCAGCAACCATTTCTAGCCTTTGCTTTACATGCAGTAGCCTTAAATAAAGGATGTAGTTTAGCTATGTGTGTATATGTATAATGTTTTAATCTATATTAAGTATGCCATACAGGGGCGCCCTATAGTCCTTACTACAGCGGCCATGGGTTTGAATCCAGCCTGTGGCTCTTTGCTGCGTGTCACCCCCTCTTTCTCTCTCCATCTTCAGCTGTCCTGTCCAATAAAGGCAAAAAGCCCTAAAAATATATGAATTAAAAATAAAGTATGCCATACAGGCTCTGCTGTTATGACTATAGACTTCCCCCACCTTCCTAAAATGACACGCACATTACATCATAACAACATGACGCGAGAATAACCTGTGTCAGTTGTATTTTTTGTGCTACTTTCTATTAATTTTCTAAGTACGTATTATCCTCCTAACCTTATATAAAGACTCTCAATGCTCCTAACCAATGCCTGTATATGTGCCTACCACTCCACGCCAGATGAGGCCGCTGTTGTAACCTTGTCCCGGTTTCTCCAGAAGAAGAACTTTTCCAGGCTCTGATTGGTCAAAGATCTCCGTTGCCAAGACAACAGTTTACAAATATGTCGACTTCATAATCTGAAGGGAACCAAATGGCTAACGTGGTTGATCTATCATTCCCCTCGTTTATTTCACGCATTTTCTGTGTTTTACTGTTCATTTCATGGGCTCACACTCAAAACATTGTCGGTAAGACCTTAATATATAACCGGGTTTACATTCAAATAGCTCAACCAAAGCAAAACCGAGCTAAAGAACTTAGTCGGCTAAGAGCTAGTTAGAAGACAGCCGAGATAACTCAGTTGAATGACTTTGCTGGATAATTGTATGAAGCTAATACAGAGCTGATACTATTATGTTGAACAGGTTTCCAGCCGACGTATCTGACCACAACTGGACCGACGGTCACTGCACTTTTGATCGGAAACACGTCGGACATCTCTCTGAATCTGAGGACGGTATCTCCTAACAATGAAACAGGTAAAAAGCTAGAAACACCTCCTCCTGATTCCCCTTATATGACACAAGCAGGTTTGCCTTGTTATTTTACCAGTTAAGCTATGTTTTCAGCCATGTTTCTTGCTCTAATATCTGCCAGAAAATGAGAATATACCATTGTCCTGCTCAGTGAGCCATAAGAAGAGAGGAGAGAGGCAACGATGTGGCTATTTTGTGATCGTGTAATCTGTAATTTGTATATATTTGTTGTTGTTTTTTACAGGAAGCATTGGTTCTCCATCCTGTGTAGCCGAGGTAACACAATGGGTGCTCACAAGGGAGCAGGTGGGAAAGGTAAGAAGTCTTACAGTGAACAGTAATATCCATCATATTTATGTGGAAATAATGTTCAAGTAGAAAGAAATTGTGCTTTTTAATATGAACCTTTTCCATTTGGTGCCCCAGACTGCAGTTCGAGTTCATCTGAGACTGGATAAAAATCTGCGTTTGTGTGGCGAGAATGAGACGGACACAGATTGCTGTCCGAAGCCGCTGTGTGTCCTGGAGACCCTTCAGGTGTCTGCCTGTGTGGGCAACACACCTCAGGCATCAATGCTGGTCCAGGCCAAGATACATGCCCTGTTGGTGCCTGCTAATACTGGATCTGGTAATTACATTTGTATCCCATCATAATGTGCCTTCATGGCCAAGGATGTGTAATTTTTTTTTTTTTCTGTTTTAACATATGTAATGTACTGTTTTATATTGTTTTACCTTATTGATTTTCTTGTATTCTTCTTCTTATTATATTGTACAGCTGTTCTTGAGTATTCAGAAAAGCGCTCTTTAAATAAAATGCATGTTTTATATTATTATTATTATTATTATTATTATTATTATTATTATATGTAATTCATATAAATCCCCTTTTCATTTTCAGATAATAAGACAGTCATTCCAAACCAAGTGTACCAAACACTGGGCTCTTGTCCCTGTGACCTCACTTTCAGAGCATGTGATGTGCGCTGCTGCTGTGACAAGGTATTTACATCTCTCACATTATGTTATTACATTGTTTTGACAAGAGAACAGTGTATTTTAGGCACATGTATTTCCTTATGTATTAATGAACAATGACTTATTTCACACCCTTTCACTCTTAACAGGACTGTTCCGTTGAAGATTTAATGCTGTTTGCGGCCCACTGTCTCCCGGGACCTTTTGGTGGACAGGTCTCTCCAGCACCAGATTATCAGTGCTCTGTGCAGTCCTCTGAAAACTCCCCGGATTGGTTTCCATTTTTATGTGTCAATTCTCCAGCTGAAAACAACCCTTACCTTGGGCTCTTTTATCAGGGAGACACAATGTGAGAAATGATTGAATATACTGTGTGTTTTAGTTTTTTTTGATTGTGTGATTCATTTATAGATTTTTTTTGCATCATGTTTTCATCTTATATCTTTTCGCCTTTAACTCGTCTAGTGCTTCTAACCCTGGCCCATCCTTCCAAAGGCCCGATATGTCAGCTCCAGTGCCAGTTAATGTTTATGTTCAAGGAAGTCCCATTTTCACATTAAATGACCAGTACTTCACTATTCCCCAGGTTAGTGGTGTGTATGTTTTTTAGATTATGTTTTTTAGATTATATGTGTTGCCAAAGATGTAACAACTGATGCCTTGTATATATATCTTTTTCACAGAAGGTGCTCGGGCGGTGTGTAAACAGTGCTCCTGTAGCATTTTTGGACAATTTCAACGACAAGTGTGTAACTCTGCTACACTCTTGTCCAACTGGACCCCCCTTCCAGACACTACCAACAGATTTGAGGATTAAAGTGAAGAATGGGCAAGGGGGTATGTTTTAGCTGCTAAACATACTGTCACAATGCTTTAACACATTCTGGAGCTCTTTGAATCGATATGTTTATAATTTTTGTTGTTTTTTTTGGAATGTATTCCAGGTGATGTTACAGTCAATGTAATTGATGAAGTGACCATTGACCTGGGTCAGTTTATTTCAAGCACAGATGCTGTTGCCTCTTCAGGTATGGAGATGACATATTTTAACATATCATTTAAAAAACAACTTAAACTGACAATTAATGTTGAAATTTGTTAATATTTCTTTGAAGATGGGCAGCTGATATGTGAGAATGTGACCTTAGCGCTGGAATACAAATTCTACTGGAAAGGAAAGGGCATCACAAGTATCACACTGACACACACCGTTGGGACCATCGCCTTCAATACTAGTGGTATGTTCCCAAAAGGCCTGTCTGTGATTTGACTTATCACCAGTCAGTCAAAGTTGATCGATATGTTTGATCATAATTTTTGCTATTTTGTCTCCTGAACAGTGGCGTTAACTACAAGGTATTCAGCCGAGTTTCTAAATGGAGAATTTGTGGGTGAGCCCAACTCAGGGAACCCAGGTGAGAGCATCGCTTTTTCCTAGGAATGATTGTGGAAGTGAACTGTTATGTAAAAAACTGTTCACAGTACCTGTTACAGTGGTTAACACACACACACATTTCAAATAACAGGTTATCAGGTGGGAAGGCCAGTTATTGGTGGAATTGTGGACACTTTGGGCAATGATACAGGAACAATACAGAGGACGTCAATCAATCTTTGGAAACCAGGTAAAACCTGTTAAGGCATGTTGTTGATTACTGCCTTACTGAATGTAGTGTAACACTAAATTACGTATTTTTCAATCATAACAAGTTGACTGAAAGAGATTTTCTGATTTGGCTTACAGTGAGTAATGGACTCTGTTCCACTGCTGAGAAGAAACCAGTTCTGTTTGGGGAGAATTCAACATCAGGATGTCTGTTACCTGTCAGCCAACAGAGTATGACTCAGTGTAATCTCCTGAGGTTAGTAGTTCAGCACGAGTTCCTGTTTGATTTAACGTCTATATGTATTTATGCTGAAATAGAACTTAATGTTTTCTGTCCTTTAGAGAGACTGTTGCTTCTCTCCAGGCAGCTTTGATTACAGCTACATATGTGGCAAAGAGTGGAAACCCAGATCCTCTAACTATGACAGACTGGGTGAACATCAGCTGTAAGTCTGCAGTATGTTTTGTGTAATGAGATCATCCATTTGTTCATAATATTAACTTCATGTCTTGCTATACTTGTAACTTGTAAAGCAAATTGTACAATATTGTGCTAAATCTTTTTCTAACTAAATGTTACACAACATGTATATATTCCAGTTGTGACACAGAACTCAAGCACCACTATGGAAGACACCACAAGTTCATGCTATGGGATTCAATCCCATCAGCACATCCATGTTTGGAGTCTTATCACTGGCATTGTAGATGGCATACCTCAAAGGGATATCCGTGCTTTGGAAGTCAGGTGTGTATCAGGTGTATACTCATTGCAATGCACAGTGTAAATAGTATTCTCAGTCAGGGGGAACTGTTAAAAAAAAGTTACCACATGTCCTAATTTGCAGTATTATTATAAATCTCTGTGAATCAAGAATCTTATTTTGGTCATTTTTAGCTACAGCCTGTCCTCCTGGGCACTGGATTGTGGAGGAGGTGATATCTCTCGCTGTGTGGACCCATTGGAGACTCAGTTGTTTCCCATCACCTCCTCGGTCACCTTTACGGACATTCCTATCAACACAGGACTACCAAAGACCAGGTGCTTCCTCAAACAGCAAGACTGCTCTTACTATAGAGTTGTGAACTTGAGCCAAATAAATTACTTTATGTGTGACCTGCCTGACTGATTCTAACCTAGTCTAATGTCTTGTTTTGACTTTTTTCCCCCCCAGGTTTCAGATCAACTTCACAGAGTATGACTGTGACAGGAATGATGTGTGTTGGCCTGAGCTCGCCTTCCCCATCACCAAGTACTACACAGGTGGGGATTTATCTAGTCCTGGAAAATCTGTCCAGTATTTGAAATTGTATTGTATTTGAAAAATATGAAATTGTTTTTATGCTAAGAAAAAATGTATTACTCACTTACTTACTGTTTAAGATCATTATATTCATCATTCCATCATCAAAGCTGACGGCCTCAGGACTTTGTTGAATAAGAATGATGCTGCACCATCTCTAAATTACATCAACAGCGCGATTGTTTACACTGCTTAAGTATGACAATGGATATTGACAGTATTGTACCATTACTGACTTTTTTTACCTTTATCCTCCCTAGGTGAGCCATATTCTCAGTCACTGGCTAAAGGCCTTATATTGGTTTTCTTCTTCATCACTGCCTCGATTCTTGGGACTCCATGGAGACAAATCCGACAGGCATGGAACTGTCTCTAAAACCCTGAGAAAAGGCTGAGAACAATGTCGAAGTATATAGTTTATAATATAGCTTTAACATGTTTGTAATATGTTTGTGAGAATGTAAATAGTTGTATTGGTGCACCATTTTGCAATAAAAATATTTTTTCTATGACATTTGTTTTAGGCTCTAACACTCAACTTACTTTTAATCAACATTCTCATCGATCATGCTTGTGTAATCCTCTAATCTGATCTCAGTCCTACCTAACAATTAGTTTCTTATGGAGTGCTGCAGGGCTGGATTCTGGGTAATTGTTTATTTGGGGTTTAGATGTTCCCACAAGGGCTTATCATCCTCAATATAGTTTCAGTGTTATGCAGACAACACTCAATGTAATGTATACAGTAGCTGCTTGTCCTTAAAACTTACCACTGTAACATATTCTTCTAGACTCGGTCGGAGGAACCAAGATATGTTTCATTTGTCGTGTCTCCTTGTTTCCACTCATTTGCGTCTTTCTATTAGTGTCTCCTATCCAAAACATACAGTTTTTATAATCCCCCAGGTCATCTTAAATGTTTGCCCTGGGTCTTGGCATAGCCCAACAGGTTAGTCTGGCTATGCAGAGTAACAAGGATATTTACAGAATATACACTGTGTGACAACTAAGACTAGCTCCAGAGAAAATGATAGCACCTATTTCAGATATTTCTGCTGTCGTGAAGAGGTTCTTGCAATACAGCCTGTACAGACTGGTAGGCTTACGAAGCTCTGACAGCCTACTTATGTCTGATTGTCAACAGGGTTGGAAGGGTTACTTTAAAAAAGTAATCTTAAACAATTAGTAATTACCTGTTTAAAAAAATGTAGTAGGTAACCTAATCCAAGAATCAAATTATTAAAGTAATGTAATTGTATTACTTTATGTTACTTTTGGATGACCTCACCTGAAAATATGACAAGAGAAAGGCAAGAAAAAAGAAATATTAACAAGAAGCATTGATTCTATAAGACAACCATACAATGTAATCTTAGAAAATGATTTTTAGCATCAAAAATGTGTCCTCTGCTGATGACTGATGTACTTGAATTTCCCTCGGGATAAATAAAGTATCTATTGGAGGTTCATTTGTCCCATCTGCCATCAGACTCCACAACGCCACAGCTCCCAGTTCCTCAAACGCCAGCAGACAAAGACTGGTTTACAACTCCTACC